TTTAAAAAAAAATAAAAATAAATAAATGCAGAACAAAGCTTGTGCTAGATACCAAGATGCTCTCTCAGTCTACAATTCATCGTCTACCAAACTCATAGCAGGAAGAATTTTTAAATTCCAAATTGATATTTGTGGCTCCCTGTGAAAGGCGCACGTCCTCAAAAAGTACGTGGTTCTTGGTTTTTGAAGCTTAAAATTAAATGTTTCAACACGAGAAATCAATTTTAATAGAAATCACAGAAAAGGGAATTTACAAGATAACAAAATGGTCTTTCAGACTGGAATACAAAAGCTACCAGACTACATAATAGGCAGAATTTGTATATTTTAAACTGATCATTCTCGCTTCTTGTGATATGCACACCTACCCAAAAGGTCTGCGGGCTCTAGTCTTTCAAGCACTAACTTAAATATTCCGGCATGAGGAACCATTTAAAAAAAAGAATGTGCCAGATGCCAAAACGCTCTCTCGGACTAGAATACATCACCTAGCAGGCTACATAATAGGTAGATTTTGTATATTCCAGATTGATATTTGTGGCTTCATTTGAAAGGCGAACCTACCGAAAAAATACGCGGTGCTTAGTCTGCGAAGCTCTCAATCAAATGTTTCGACACGAGGGGAAATTTTGTTTTTAAGTCACGGAAAAAAGAATGTGCCAGATACATAAATGCTCTTTCTGACTACTCTACAGCACTTACCAGGCTGCATAATAGGCATAATTTGTATATTCTTAACTAATATTTGTTGGTGTCTATGAAATGAGCACCTGTTCGAAACGTCCGCGGGCCCTAGTCGTTCCGTACAACGCTGATTCGATCCCCACCCCTGCCCGTTTCGATCTGGATGAGCATCGTACCGATGGGCGGTTGTGTGTCACTACGTGCATATTCAAGACCCCAGGCTAGCTATCGTAATGCACTGGTTAAATTTCTCATCTACACTTGAGATATCAGACGCTCATTGAGGCTGACTAACATCCCGCTGTATAAACGTACACGCAACACAATTATTACCACGTATTAATCGAGGTATCACGTACCTTGTCGCGGTGTCCTGAAAGATCTTTAAAAAATGGGTTGGCCTCTCCGTGGTTGACAAGTGCGATGACTTCGTGTGGTTCCTTTATCCAGTTTCTCGATCAGGTGTCATTTGATGAACCAATGCTTTGACAGACACGAAACTTCTCTTTCAGATTCCTTGCTCCGTCATCTAAATTAAAAATCAATCAAGAGACCTCATGATATTTTACTTAACTACGCCTGCACCTGTAGGAAATGTTGGGCATTGGCGTAGCTCTAGCATTGGCAAAAAAAAAGAAGCAATATTTGAATGAAACATGTGTCGACATATGGTTGGGAAATGATGCTCGACTTGATGGTTTTATTCTGATATATTAAATGATATGGCTTTATTTTTGTTTTTAATAGAACTGTGTTGATGCTTGTGCCCTTAGTGTTAAAAGTGTTCTTCGACATTGCTGCGAAAAAGCATTATGTAAAAATTATAGATAGAATATTAGGCAGAATAAAATACTGCATAGAAGGCATATCACTTCTAACTGAAACAAAAAGGGCTTTCTCCAGTTAGAAGGTATTTTTACTTATAGGAATCAATTTACCATAAAGCTAGAAAATGAGTACGGGCTTGGCGCTTCATCGATTGATCAGATCATTCAAGCACCTTGATGCCTATCTGTACGAAAGTTCTATTACCACATAATAATATATAACTGACTCGCTAAATTTAGTTAAGCGGCATACCGATCTCGTACTTGTTCAAAAGCCACTCTTAAAACTGTAAACGTGCGTTGACTTTCCCGTCGAATATCGGAGATTCGACAACTGCAATGAATGAAAAACGCTCCGCGATTTACAAGGCGTAAAATAAGTTTGTGCATCAAAATTAGCCTATGGTGTGACACCGAACTTGGCATAAGCCTGCAGAAATGTCTCGCTCAGAGTGAAACTATATACTTTATTTTCAGGTCCAGATATATTTTTAACCTCGTCATCAGCCGGCAGCCCTCTTCAGGAGTTGAGACGATTTGCTCTGCCAATTGCTTTGCAGGAAAGTAAACACTCCAGATTTTTTATAAGTTGTGGGGTACATAGATTCGAGAGTAGCACATCGAATTGAGATATGAGTCTTTTTCGCCAGTGGGCGAGAGGGTGTCCTCAAGACGCGACCATTTAATAGCGAAGGAAGCGCCTGAGGGACGCGACCGCAAAGGTGGCGCAGCAGCGTCATGGAATGCACGAGGTAGACTCGAATGCAGGTGTCTGTCAGCGTCTGGCTATGGTGCCTGGAGCGCGTCTTGGACTGGTGTTATTAGCGTCCTATGCTGTCTATGTATCAAACGTGGTGCCTAAGTGGCAACAAATGACTTTACAGAAGCCGAAGTGTCATGCTGTTGCATGTCAAAATCCTGGCGGTAGTAAAATAGATAAATGGGCTAGTTGGTACATCATGGAATGGAAAGCGCCGAATGAACAAGGACGGAGAAGGGGACAGAGACGAAGCGCTCCTGGCGGTAGTTCGTTGAAATGCTAACGAGAAGCTGCGAGTAGCACAAGCAAACGCGAGTGTCGCTGCCGGAGCTTCGGTGGACTGCCACACTGCTCACGGGTGGCTCGTAATGGTCAACGGGTACCTCGGAAACGCCAGACCTCTCTTCCGTCTACGAAGGACGTTCAACCCATGAGACAGCCCGGTGACTACCGACCCCAAGTCAGCTTCACTCTGCACCACGGCTCAATGTATACACCGGATGTTTTGGCCCTTTCTCTGCGTAGAACCAAGGCACAAGAACTCAGGTGGCTATCAGCTCATCAAAGAACGTTGCATAGAAAGATCTTTTAGTCGACTTGTGACGTCTGGAACCGCACCACGGCATAAGCAGACCGCCGAGATCCTCATACCGCGACACTACGAAAGCATACTGCGTATGCATGGTTTTGGAATTTAAGAAAGCAATTATGAAACTCGCCTATACATTTAATATTCATACATGACTTGCAAGCAAGCGATTAAGGCCTCTAAAACAGTTGTGAGAGACGAGCAGCAGTATCTATTAACACACTGGTACAAAAAATTAAATTTAGGAGATCTTAGACCAAAATGGGTTGCGTTTGGATTAAGTTAGTGGCAACTTTAATTAATTTACTTTACTCTAAGATTAAAATGATGAACACTTAGATTAAAGTGGAGTACAACTGGATTAAATTCAAGAACGCTCGCAATAAAAAGCTGGCTTTTGAACAAATAACAACGGTGAAACCTAGACACGAAATGCCGTACCAATGTTAATATCAAAAACTCCTGACTAGAGACTCTGCTCCCCGCGCTCCAGAGAGAAACCGCAAAAAATTCGTCGCGAGTAAACTTGTGCTTGTCCCAATATTCTTGTTGCAGTGTATAGTGCTTTGATGCATGACTGAAAAGCTAGTTCAGAGATTTGAGCAATTAAACTCTCTTCCATGCAATGAAACAAATGAGTGCCTTTGGGGGACGGGAAGAACGAGAAAGGCATTGTTTTTTTTATTCAATAGGACAATAGTTAATCGTATGTGAAGATATTTAGTGCAACGAATTAGGATGATATGTAATATTCCGGCGACAAACGTTTTTTTTACTCCTTTAAAAGGAACATAATGATTCAATCCAATAATGTTACTGAAAACTTTACCATAAAATATCTATCAGACCAACCACGAATGGAGGATTTAATACCAGAAAATTATTGAAAACACAAGATTACGCTAGTTTGTGAGTTTGATTGCAGCATTCACCAAAAACATAAGTGCAGTAAAAGATAAAACATGCACAACTTATGGTTTGTAGTCAAACTTCATAACTAGTAGCGCTGTTTGAGTTCTGAGGTATGTTGGTCACATTGCATAGGCTATGTGGGTGCTCAGAGCCTTACCTACTTCAGGAGGTGTTTGATCTAGGGTGGTTTTCTACATCGAGGATTCACTGTAGTTAGATTAGCAGATAATGTAACAGACTAATTAAAAGGAAAATATCTGCAGTGTTTGAAGATGTACTGAATAAAACAATAAATATAAAAATAAATAAAAAGCTTATAACTTTGTCTAGGTAGGAGCACTAACAAAAGAAGCATAAGTTAAGAAAAGGTTATACATTTTTCTGTAAATAAACCCATCTAACATTTTACCTTAAGAGGGCGCGATACCTCTATTTACTCGTCCGTTTTAGCCACCAGATGGCGCGCGGCTCGTGACGTGGTTGAACGCGCCACTTCTAGATGGCCCCAGTATCGAAGTCTGGAAAGGCCCGCCTTATCCGCTGCGTGAAATAGATCCCCGGAATGTGTTGTGTTCTCCCGGCGGAGGAAGTTTCTCCCTCCCGCGCGCGCGCTTGGTATGTCTGCGGTCAGTCAGCTCAGTGTGCATAGCATCGGACGTCAGTGATAATACGCGCGGTGGCCGAGCCCGGGCCCTGCGTTGTGTGATGCAGTGGGTGGCGCTCGTTTCTGTTCGGAAGTAGGAATAAAAATATCGGTCCCCTTTTTTACGACGCTCGTTTCTATAGCTTTTTTTTTATTTAAAGTGACCTACAGTACCGCCTCTTCGAAATCGTCCTTTGCGGCGAGCGATTGAGAGTCAGGTTAGCATTTTATTTTGGTCAGCACTACACGTTCAATGAAGACCTCGGGCGGCGATGTAAATATGCATTGCTCCCCAAAGTGTGTCCAAGGTGCGCAGTGACAATTGGAAATGGTATTGAAGGCGCGCGACCGTCAGTTGGTAAAATACGCGCGTTAGATTCACTTATTCAGTCTAATCATTTTTGACAACGTCTTTTATCTGTTTCGACAAATGACATGGTCGAGTCTATTGATAACCATAGCTACATTGGACTTACGGAGTGCCCGGGCTTTAAATAAATTTTTTTCGCTAATGTGAATGAATAACTGTTTTCAGCAATTGGCAAAGACGTCCAAGCGAGCATTGGAATACATATATTAAATACCATGACCACATCAAGCCGCCGAATCAATGCAGAACGGAGTACGAAGGAAGCGGAACTACAGGCAATCCTTGAGGGTGCACGTCAGGCCGTGCGTCAACAGAATGCAAACACGGATCCGTTCGATTTTATATGGGTCTTCACCGATTCCAGAGACGCCTACGCTGAGTGCCAGGACGTCAGCTCATACAACACGACGGTCCGCCAGCTAAGGACACTCGCTCAGCTCCTCGCACTCGATGGGCGAACACTTCAGGTTGGGTGGGTGCCGGGTCATTCCGGCATCCACGGAAACGAAGAGGCCCACAACGCGGCCAAAGCAGCGCTAGAATCTGCGCCGGTGCTTACAAATCAGGACCAACAGGGTGTCAGTCGTGAAGGAGAAAATAATGTCCTACCCTTCAACTCGGACGCATTTCTGTCCCTGAAAAGGAAGCATCGAAGGGAAACCCTCGCTGCCCAAATACCACCAGACCCTCACGGAACCCTACCAACACGCTTCTGTCGGTTCAATAGGGTAATCCTGCGGCGTATTAGAACCCGCACCGCCATGACTCCGGCTCTTCGGTATAAGTTTGGCCTCACAAGACGACGAGGACACCCAGACGACCCGCCACCCGTTGTCACAGGGGAGTGCGACCGTTTTAAGTCCGGACAGCAAGGTACACTGGGGGGGGGGGGGGGGGGGAGCATCTTGTGTGGGGATGCACAGCGACAGAGCGTATTCGCCGAAGTGTCATCCGCGGACTACCACATCAGCTTCGTCCTACAAACTTCCAAGAATGGACGAGTCCCGACGGCGAACAAGCAGACAGGGAGGCAGTGCTTCAGTCCCTCTTGTAATTCATTCGGGAGGCAGGCATTCGCCATCTATTTTAACATATTTTCATCCGACATCATCCTTATCGCTCATCTCCTCCCACAAATGATCTGAGATCAAGGTGATGAGGGCATCAATAAAGGCAAAACGTGAACAACAAAAACTCTTCTCCGTGCTCGGTGCTATGCAAAAATCGCTTAAATGTTATGGTAGCGTACTTTGGTGGCGTTTTGCACGCTGACTCGCTATTGCATTCGCTGTGCACAATATGTTTTCAGATGGAATGTGTCAAATCGTATTTCCAATCGATATGATAGATTTACTTTGCTACATTGTTAATTATATTTTCCTTTTTTAAACGGGTTCGTCCCTGATCTGAGCCTAAGTTCAAATTCGAAGGTGCAGACAGACTTAGCGTCGTAACAGCCGTAATGCGCAGAAAGAAATTAGCACCCCGAAAGAAAAACAAAAGGATACGAGGTGGCTCGGTGTTATAGAAGTAATGAGTGTACGGAGGGTGGCCATCGTACGTTTTTTTCTTGTTGAACGTTCCGCATCGCTGGGAAACGCTCAAGGTACCAGCAAATACCGCGAGCTGGCGTGAAATTTCCATCGAGCGGAAAACGAGCGTCACTTTCATCATGCGCTTTTTATTTTGATATGGCTCAAAATGCGCGCGAAATAGTAGCAGGTAAGGCAACAAAATTTAGATGTTAGGTCTCGAACACCGCCAGACTCAGCCGTGTTGGGGGCATACCTCGCGAGTCAACACGTCAAAGGTATTGCACGTCGTACTGTACGTGTGAGTTATCCATTTCAGCAAAACCTTGATTTCACAAAACTATTGTGCGTTAGAGATATGCATCGTATTAATCAGCTATGACTATACCCTATCTCACTAGTTGCGCGCAGTAATTGCAAGCCACGATCGAGAAATAAATGAGAGTTGATTTTGTAGGACAATCGCGACGTGGAAACCCATAAAAGAGAGTCCCGATAAGATGAGAGCTTCCCCTTCTCTTCAAGTGCATGGGTTACGCTCTCAATCCTGCGCCTGTGGTAACACTGCAGGCTCCTAAAATCGTCTTCCCTGAAGAACACAGTAGCCTTCAGAATTGACGGGTGCTACGCGAAAGCGAGCGACATGTCACGGGAACGAAGGCGAGGTGCTCCGGGCTGTGAAAACGCTCCTGATCGCAACAACTTTTTTTTTTTGTCTGGCACAATTTTTTTTTCTTTTACCTTGATACCTTATCAGCGCAAAAACTGCCATAAACTAAAAAAAAAAAGTAGTGAGCATGCGACGACAACTTACCCACTGGGACCCGAGTCAAGGCAAGAACAACTAACTACTAAAAGGAAAAAAGAATCATGTTCGCATACACAGACATAACACCTCCATCGAAAGAAATGAATCATGCGCTTGTTCTGCCAGTCTCGTTGTGTGTCTGTCAAAAGCCACAAAGGAGGAAGACAATCAGCGCCTACACCCATTCCCCCCCCCCCCCCTTCCCTCCCCCGCCTGAAAAGAAGAAAAGAAAGGTTTCTTGGGCGCCCGCGGTCGCCCAAGCGATGATTTTAGAAGGGTATGCGATTGTAGCACGTTTGTCCCCCGGTTGTTCCCCTGTCTGAAATGCCACGGTCTGTATCCCCCACGTACCAAAGTCCCCGTCTTATCTTCCCCGAGTATCAACTCCGCAGTTATTCTAAGTCATTCCGATGCTTTCCAACGTTGCGAAACTGTTAGACGAGTATTTGCATACAAGCATACACTGTTCGCAGCACTATCTACAGTGCTAAAATTCAAAAGCGCTGTGTTAGATTTGGGAACTCCTGTGGGTTTAGCTCATTGTTGGAACATTCCTATTCGCTCGATGAACTCCACAAAATTCGTAAATATTAAAATGGACTTTCCAGAGAACGATATTAGTTGTGGGGTCCCAGGCGACCGGACAGGTCGCAATTATTGGTTGATTGAATGTTTTATTTCATAATCACGCACGTATCATCAAGGGCACGCCATTTCCTCATCACTTCTACGAACGGAGTTGCTGTATTCATAGCACACGTAGACGGAAACGGTTGAGACTGTGCTCAAATAATACTTTCTTTTGACAGGTACTGCTCAGCGATTACAGACAATGCTTCTAACATAAACATGCTGCTCCAGATGTGTATTCACAAGACGCAATACATCGTTCTCTCAACTTTGTTGAAATGAGCATGAAAGCGCGTAACCGTCACTTGGTTGAAGTTCTACTTATTGGTGAAGTGTTTACCGTAAAAAGTCGTTAATTATTTATTTTTTTCCGTTCCACTACCAAGGTCGATTCACTTCAATTTTTGTTTTTATGTCGTCTCTACAGCGCTTTTACGTCGGTACTTTCGTGTTAGGGGACATCACATAATATGAGAACAACAAATAAAAAAAAAACGGTACGATGGATGCTGCATAGCCTCGTTTTTGTGGTCATAGAAAAAACAAAAGTAGTGGTCTTCACTTCGCACTGCATGTTTTAGCATGGAAGTTCCTATTTGGTTATGATGTCTTTACTTTCTTAAAAAATATATACAGTAATTTAAATTACCGAATTACAAAAACGTCGAAATTGTATAATTGCTTTTTGTTGGGACGCCATGACGACAGCGACACTCATGTTCGCTCGTGGTTTTCGCCAGCATTTCTACGATGAATCGCCAGGACCGCGAGATGGAACAGTGTGACACTCCGTCTTCTGTGACGTCATTTGTTGCCACTTCGGGACCGCTTTTGATGCATGGCTAGCATAGGACGCTAAACACACCAGTCGGAGACGCGCTGCAGGCGCCATAGAACTGCTCCTAAAACTAGCTGTCACGTGCTTTGCTCCGCGTTTGTGATTCCCCCACAGCAACTCTGACTGAGGGTTGCCCAAATACGGTGAAGCGGAGTATAGACAAAACAGACAGGAAACGAGCTGCCAGCAGACGCTAGTCAAACTTCCAACAAAAAGGATTAGTTTCTTTCCAACCTGGACGACATTTATCGGGCATCTTTAGAGCTGCGAAGCTCAAAATCACGCGTACTCATAAGATTATTTTCTCTCGCGTGTTTGTGATTTTCACAATGTCCTGCAAGCAAAAACAAAAACAAAAATATGGTGAAGTCGCTCCGGGGGGGGGGGGGGGGGGGGGCGGAGGGGGGGAACCGATAACTGCGAGCCACGAACATGAAGGATTCGCTAACATCCGTCAGGAGTGTGAACGGTAAATCGTCACGCGAACATATCCTCCCAAGCTGCAAATATTTCTTTGGCTTAGCAAGTAAAATATACTAACGACATGTGATTATTATACACACGACACCATATCTCGGTTCTTCAAGACCATTTCCTTAGTCTGAACGGTCGCGCTACGAACCGCGGCTAGCCGTGTCCTCGATAAACTACGGAGCTGCGTTGTGTCGTCTGCTACTGTACCGCCAACAGGAGAGCGATAGCTCTGTGTGCTCCACAGATGCGTGTTGCGGTATAACTCTGTACGTCTGTCCTGGAGGAAGACAAAAAGATAGGCTCTGTGACCCCCCCTAAGCAAACAAAAACAAACAGAAGTATACTCGTTTGGAGTGAAAGTTTTCCAAAATAGTGGCCAGACATTGGAAAAGCATATGTTACAAAACTTGGTTTGTGAAATGGCATTATTTTTTCGAGCAAGAAATCACCTGCTCACCACTGGGACGACTAAGTGGAACGTCGCGTTTATATGCGGTACAAAATAATAAAACATAGACAAGGCTTCTAGATCTATTGAAGGAGCTTTTTCAGAAGAACTGATGCGGCCGCAAAAGCGCGAAAGCTCCCACTTTGTGATGTTTGATGAGCTCGGTGGTTTTACAGAGCCAGGCGGGAGACAAAAGTAGGACTTTGCATTGATGGCTCTTTCGAGCATCGCGATGATTTACATCGAACATAGAGATCATATAATAATATAGAGGAAAAGACCCAGCATCTTCCCATGCTTTGCAGTCGCTTCAAAATGGCAATGCACGAAAGCGGACATCGTCGGTCCCGGTGAGACAAAATAGCAAGTCTTCCCTGTCATAAACGCAAAAGCTGGTAAAACATCATTTGCAATGACAATATTTAGTGTCCTTTGCCTTATTTCTGCAGAAACAACCGGCGAACGTCACTGTATCAGAAACAACTCACCCTCACCAACGTTTGAAGAAAGGCAAAACGTAGATGAAAAGCGAGCGCGCTTCGCCTCGTTCTGTATCTCGGGACCTGGGACCGTACCTTTCATCGAACGCCATTTCATCGAACGCCGTTTCATCGAAGCCGTTTCATTAAACGCCGTTTCATCGAACGCCGTTTCATCGAACAACGCCTCATCAAAGCCGTTTCATCGAACGCCGTTTTATCGAACGCCGTTTTATCGAACGCCAGGGTGGCATACCCGCCTCCTGGAGCTAGCCGGAGGTGCCCATCCCGGGTTCGGGAAGTTTTTGACTTGCATCGCCGCAGTACATTAACTATTGAAGACAAGCTGGAGGCGGTGCTGAGTTCCCAAGAGCCTCCTCGCCAGAAGGCCATAGCGGCAAGAAATGAGAAGGTCCGCCTTTTTTATGAGAACCGACGGCGCATGGTTGTGGGGGACTTTTTGAGAGCAATTGCTTATCATTTGAAACGGTGAATGGCTGTCGCACGAACACATGAACC